TGCGCCCACCAATTTTCAAAAATAAATGCATTTTAGGAAGAATTAAAAACACAAATACTCAAGAAACTCCCAGAGTACGGGGCCGGGAGCAGTTTGGTGCCCCTAAGGGCCGTCTCGCTCTAGGCGATCGCAGAGTGAGTGAGCCGGCCCTGACTAAGATTATTGTATTGTCTCTTGTTATTGGTGTAGCATGTATTCTAAAAATGAATGTGATACTGAAAGGTCTGTTGACCACATAATACAGAGGCTGAGGACTGTGGGACCAAAGAAGAGGCCAGGCAGGGTAATGGGAGGTGGGACACCTGGCCTCTCTTCCCATGGAATCGGCAGGCATGGGGTGGGGGGTCAAGGTGCACCAGATCTGGAGTGGGATTAGGATTTCTTCCTCCTTGTCAAATGCTGGGGCTTCTTTCTCTTCTGTAACTCCCATCTCCCGGGAAGCTGTTTTGGAACTCTTGGCTATCCCAGTATGCCTGTAGCACCCCTTCCACTGCGAAGGAGGGCAGCCTGGATCGTGTTCCTGAGTCTCTGCTTAGCTTGGGTTAGCCTCTCACTGTCAGACTCCTGGGCAAGTTATTCTCAACAGCACTCTCTTTGGCAGTGATATGTTTATTGAGTTATAAGCAAGGTCCAGGTCATAGCCCCACTGTGTCAGTTCTGAAGATTTACGGCGGCTACCATCATAGATATAGGTAACTCAAATGTAACCCCTCCCAAGGCCCACTCCTACGTCACATCCACTCCACCTAGCCCCAGCGACTCTACCCCCTCCCCCTTTCACCTGGGAAATATACGATCCCATTATCTACAAAAGCAAGCTGGCACCAAAAGTTTTAAGGACCTTCCTCTGGGAGAGAGGAAGGCTTCTTTGGAAGAATTAGGCCTCTAAGATAGTGCAGCCACACACTCCACACTCACTCCCCCCCACGTAAGGCATTCCCCTCACCCAACAACCATGGCAAACTGAGCAGGGCGATGTTTGACACTGTCAGGGCGGGGGTGGAATCTGTTTCTGGAAGCACTTTGCAGCCATCCAAAGATCTGCAAGTTTTCAGACCAACGGGACTGAATGCCTTCCAACCTGAAAGAAACTTGTGGGGGAGGAGAAATCCCATCATGCTCAGCCCCCCCTTAAACGCTGCTACTGCGGCCTCCCCCCTTTAATGACATTTATTGGGGTTGCTGAGCATCTAAAACATAGCAGCTGAGATCTTGTGATGCTGTGTTGGGAGATCTTTTTTTACTTTGGGTTGTGATGTCGAGGCAAGTGCAAACATTTCCTTTTTTTTCCTTTCAGATTTCTCTCCCTGCAAACCTGGGATTTCTCCTGGGTTCTCAAAAATGGCTCTATACCTGGGTGCCTCCCCTGAAGAATCTATTGGAGTGTGTGTGTGTGGTGGGGGAAGCACAGCCTTAGAGATGCAGCCAGTGTGGGGAGTGTCAGACCAGGATCTGAAAGAGCCAGATTTAAAAATCTTATTAAAAAGGCCAACGCTATGCTGGGGATTATTAGGAAGGGAATTGAAAACAAATCAGCCAGTATCATAATGCCCCGGATAAATCGATGGTGCGACCTCATTTGGAGTACTGTATACAGTTCTGGTCACCACACCTCAAAAGGGATATTATAGCATTGGAAAAAGTGCAGAAAAAGGCAACTAGAATGATAAAAGGAATGGAACACTTTCCCTATGAAGAAAGGTTAAAGCACTTGGGGCTCTTCAGCTTGGAGAAACGACGACTGAGAGGTGACATGATTGAGGTTTACAAGATGGATGGGATAGAGCAGGGAGAGAAAGAAGTACTTTTCTCACAAGAACTCGTCAGCACTCAATGAAATTGCTGAGCATTTCGGTTAGAATGGATAAAAGGAAGTTCTTCATCAAAAGAGTGATTAACACATGGAATTGACTGCCACAGGAGGTGGTGGCGGCTACAAGCATGGATGGCTTCAAGAGTGGATTAGATAAACATATGGAGCAGAAGTCCATCAGTGGCTATTAGCCACAAGGTATAGATAGGAACTCTCAGTCTGGGGCAAGTGATGCTCTGTATTCTTGGTGCTTGGGGGGCGGGCAACAGTGGGAGGGCTGAACTGGGCTGAAAGTTGGTTCTGAGTTCCTTATTCACAAATACTGAAGCTTATTTAAGAAGTTCTGTATTCGGGCCTAAATCGTGCATCTCCAAACGCAAGTGGTTGTGACAGACTCCTGTCTATGCTGTTCCACAGGCCTGAGCCTGGTTTTAGTACTCACCACTCCAAAATGGATGCCAACAGGATAAATGGGGGTTCAGAAAACGGTGTGTGTGTGCGTAGCTGTACCTCAAGACCACCTTTGACTGCCTCAGACTTTGCAGTCCATGCTGACAGCCTGGTTCAGGCACTGAAAGCTTCAAAAAACTGAGGCCCCCTGGAAAGGATAAAAGGACACACCTGCTGTCCCTTTCTTTCATGCTGGTCTCCCCCTGAACTCTCATTTTCCGGGTGTCCCTTCGCTGCTTCTAACCAAGCCCTCCTTCAGGCACTCCTTTTGTTGAGTGCCTAGCCTGACAAGTGTCTGTCCAGGCCTTGCTTAAAGACTGCCAATGTGAGCAGTGACTCACGAAACCTCATCCGCTGCCACAAAAAAGGTGCTACTGCATTCTTGCTAGTTTCTCCGAGGGATTTCTGGACGTCTCCAAGCCACACCGGGAGGTTGGCAACCGCACCAGTGGAATATCAGGTTGGTGACGGTTCAACCCCCCCCCCCAAAAAAAATATATTGGAGGCGGAGCCAGGCGTGCTATTGTGACGCCAACACCACCCCTCCCTTTCGCTCCCCGGGAAGGTCCGAGCCCAGTGAAACCATTGCCAACACTTCCGGTTCGCTATTGAGCGGGGGGTGGGGTGGAATCCTAGATAAGAAAATGAGACAAGACAGCACAGAGATGCGGTAGAGTGGTGGACTCTCCGTTCTACACTAAGAAAGAAAGTAAATAAAATGGAGTTTTGCGGCGGCTTTAGAGAAACAACATTTTATTCCAGACCAGAGCGCTTTTCTTCCGACACAGTGGCCACCCATGGCCGTCTTCCGGTTAGAATCGGAAGTAGTCTTTGTGTATGGTTTAGGGCTCACGATCCCCTCGTTACCCGGATGTTGTTGTTCGTTCCGACAACGCGGCCGTTGTGACGTCATTTTCGCGCGCTAGTCGATTGAGTGCCATAATTAAACCCCTGGTTATGACGCCAGCGGGCTCCCGCTCGAGAGCCTCTCAGCGACGGGCCCAACGCTGGCGCCGGTGATGTCTCTTTACCCCGGATGTTGTTTAGGGCGTAAACTTTATCTTCATGACCGGCAGGCTCTTCTTCGGCCACAGGCTTGGCCTTTTGTTCCATCCGCTAGAGCCCACTTCCGTTTCCCCTCAGCGGTTGGCTTTCCTGCGAGAACGATGTTCTCAGGCTGGCTTCGGCGCCGGGCGATGACGTCACCCCGGCGGCCCAAAGGCGGAAGTAGCCGGCGGGAGGGGAGGGTCAGATGATGGAAGCGGGTCCCTCGCCTTTGCCTTCCCCGCCTCGCGCGCGAGCCCCGGCGGCGGCGCACTGACGAGCCGGCGGCTCGAGGCTCCGTCCCTCCCCCCTCCCCGGCCCCTGGCGGGTGACGCAAAGGGGGAGGGGGATGTAACGGCCCCGGCGCGAGGCGCCTCCGCCACAGAGGGGAGGTGGAGGGGTCGGGATGGCGGCAGCGGGGGCTGCTGCGGCAGCGACGCCCGGAGGGGGCGGGCCTGGACCGGGGGCCCAAGAAGAAGAGGAGCACGAAGTCGTTCGCGTGAGGGTCAAGGTGAGCCGCCCTAAGGGGAGAGGCGGCGGCGGCCGTCGAAGGTGGCTGTTGGGTTGACACAAGGGAGGGGCTGGCTCAGTTGGCAGAATTTCTCGCGGAGCTGCCAGCTCCGAGTTGAGAAATCCCTGGAGATTTGGGGGTTGTGCCTGGGAGTGCGGTGCTTGGAGAAGGGGGGTGGGGGGTGTCCCGCTCGGGTACATGAGAACCTAAGAGAAGCCAGTGTTGGATCAGGCCAGTGGCCCATCCAGTCCAACACTCTGTGTCACACAGTGGCCAAAACCCAGGTGCCCTCAGGAGGTCCACCAGCAGGGCCAGAACTCCAGAAGCCCTCCCACTGTTGCCCCCCCAAGCACCAAGGTTGTCTCCAAGGGTATCCCAATGTAGACTGTATTACAGTAAAAGGTAAAGGTAAAGGTTCCCTTGCTCGAAAGCCAGTCGAATCCGACTCTAGGGTTGTGGTGCTCATCTCCATTTCAAAGCCGAAGGGCCAGCGCTGTTCGAAGACGTTTCCG